CTTTGCGCAACTAACCCGTCGTCCGCATCCGAGGTCTGCCGGGTCCCATCGTTCAGGTTGGGCAGTCAGGGCCAAGGGGGTCAAAAGATGGGGCGACCTTCTCAGAGTGCTGAGCATGGGGCGACCCGTTAGAGTCTTAAGGAGTCCCTGCCAAGGTATAGTCCCCTGCAACTCAGGATTCTTCGGAACATCAACCCTGACCTGTCGGTCCAGTCTTCTGGTCCTGAAAACCACCTTGATTAGTGTTGTTGTATCCACCAACTCCAGTATAATGAGGTCTTTGGTCTTGACTTGTTCGGATAGCCGATAGCCCGCTCAGCGTCCAAATCATGACACATGACCCCGTGTGACCCCTCAGAAACTGTAACAGCATACTCCACGACTTCCTCCAGGCCCACATCTGGAATGCCTCTGAGAGGCTGACTGGTGCATTTAGGGAACGGGTGGCGTCAGCCCTCCGCAACTTCCCCACGCACGACCGAAACCCATCGCCCTATCGCGCGTCACGCATTGGCTCGCGTCATTCTCCGAATGTGTCGAAGCACATTCCTTACACCTCCAGCAGGTTTGGTAGGACTCGACCCGACGTTTTGGCACCCACTTCACCCATTCTCAGGTTCAGCATCATCCAGCCTTCACGCCATTCATCCGTAAGTCCTGGCCGTTCCCGGCGGCGCCATCGACCGACCATTCTCTGGAAGTACCTACTCACCTCCAAGACCCATCCGAAAAGGAGGTACCTGGACCCTATGGGGAAGCAAACATGCCCAGCTTCTTCGTATGAAAATGGTAGATGCCTTGCCCTCAGAAAGCATCATCGCTGGGGATTGGGCTTTCTTTGTTAACGAAGCCATGCAAAGCCCTTCTGATCCTTCACTTGATGCCAACATTTGGATCTGTGGCCCCAGGTTCAAAGGCACAAATGGCACCAGAAGTGGTCTCCATTGAAATCACATGATACAGCTGGGTTAGGTTCAAGTTGCAGGCACCTATGCCCTTCCAACATTGCCCCACCATCGCCTCATCAAAGGTCAGAAGGGTTATCGATTGAACCACAGCTCTCAAAATGGAGCCACCACGTGGAAAAGCCCATGAAAGGACTGGAACTGCAGGACATCTCTCACACAAACACAGAAACCCACCTCCTCATCAAAAACATGTCAAAACCACCACCGAAACGGCACGAGCCCACCACCGGTTTTCAAGTCTAGGGGCGCGATAGGCGCTCGCGTCCGACACCGTCGCCTCTCCGGGCCCGAAAAGCTCCCGGGCCTGGAAAATGGGCCCCAAGGTTTCATCACTCTCGAAGCCTTCCAGCAAATGCTCGAAGCTCTGGCTGCCTCGGCCGAGGGGCTGGGGCCAATTGCTAGTAGGTTGGAGGCCATGGCTCTTAGGTTGGAGGCCATCCCTTCTAGGTTGGAGGCCATCGCTGTTAGGTTGGAGGCCATCGGCCATCGGTATATGTCGACACACAAGGATGCTGTCGGAACCGACTGACTTGACAGTTCGACAGTCCACTGGGGGTATTTTTGAAAAAATGGCTTTGCAGCTGCGGAGCGATGCGCGTTCATCTGATAGTGCTCAGCCTCGGGAATACCCCAGAGTCTCAGGGGGTAGCAATGGGCTGGGAAGCAAATCAGCATTGTATAGTACTTGAGAGAAAAAACGAACGAAGGAACCGTTCAAACATTACTGATATGTTTCTATTTGTCTTCTAAATCTGAAAAGCTGGAAAGAAGAGAACTTGGTCACCACAAACGCATACGTATGGCTAAATGCTTTCAGTTATGATGACTTCCAGGTCACAAAAGTGTCTTTTCAGCCTCAAATCCCAAATAATCAATAATCCCAAATTGATGATTTCCCACATCATCCCTCAAATCCCAATCAGTTATGATAACATTACCTCAGTCATCCTCAAATCCCATATTCCATCACTCCCCCGCTCTCTCCCCGGTCTCTCAACACACGTTCCGCCTCATCCCCGTCGGAGAGGAGCCCGTCACCGTTGTACGGCTCCAAGAACCGGGTCCGTCAGCTGATGGTGGAAGTGACGTCAGCAAATGTTGGTAGACACTAGATATAGAGAGATCAATAAGGACACCCTAGAGATTTGATTCATCAACAGTCTATATACATGACTTAGCAAATGTCATGATGTAATTTGGATGCCCTTTAAGCTTTCAGGGATGACCACCGGCAAACTCCCAAGCAGTAAGTTGGCAAAGAACTTTGCCCGGTGCTTTCCAAATGTTTTAAGGGTCAAATCTTCCATCGTTACATGGATTGAAGAAGGCCCTGACAGGAAAAAAAACATGTCTTTCCCACACCTCGCCTCCTACTCCGTCGTTTTGTTTTGTCCGTTTTTGCGAGTGGCTACGGCGTGCAGTTGCAGCCATCCCTGCAAGGCTTCGGGATTCCGTGCCACGCCCTGCAGGGAGTGCGCCTGCCGACGTAGACAAAGGAGCGCAAATCGCGCGGACGTCCGATCAGTGAGGCAGGTTGGGGGGGGGTAAACCTGTTGAAAGGTGTTCACTAGCGATCCAAGGATCTTCTAAGGTACGGTGATGTGTTCGACCGAGACATGTACCTGGACCCGACTTCAAGTACCTTAGAAAATGGGACATGACCCCATAAAAACAGGTACTTGCACCCATGTTCCGAGGTACTTTGGGACTCCAGGTAGGTGCCCAAGCGTCGGATCCAGTCGTACCGAACCTGAGGTTCGGTACGGAGCCCGAACGGCTAGTGATCTAGCCAGGCGATGTGCGCAGAAACTCGGATCAATTCAGTCGAACATTTCCATCATCTCCCAACACTTCACTCAAAATACTCAAACACCGAGTCACCAAGCCGAACTCAAGCAGCCAAGTCGAGCAGTCTCTCACCTCAGGACGTCCTAGCATGGTTCCCACTCCTTCCAATGCCTTCCACAGTTCCCTGCGGCCAATCTCCCCGACCGCCCTTCACCGCGGAAGCTCCGCGCCGTCTCGGGGGAGCGCTCCACGAAGTGCTTGAGCTCCGTCCAGGTGTCGTCGTCCAACTCCTTGAGCCTCCGAAGCTCCAGCGCGCTGCCGTCGCCTGGTCTGGCGCAGAGTCGCGGCGGTTTCCGCAGCAGAAGGAGCGGTTGGGTCCCAAGCGAGCGAAGATGCACCGTGGGAAGAGGAGGGCGTCGGGTTGAAAACGCGCGCCGCGCGTCGGCTTCGCGTGCTCTGGAGGTTGTTTTAAAAACCATTTAAATGAAGGCGGATGAGGTGTTCTGAAAGGGTCCTTGCATCTGTCAAGGGGCTGTTCCGTTTCATCATGTGTGCAAGTCAACTTCGTTGGTACATTCACTCCAGGCTTAATTTGTACATATTATCTTGCAGATCGATTGCTTTGATTCTTTGGTGTTTCTGTGTGGAATGCTGAAGGCTTTTATCCGGATCTCCGCACACCGGCGGTCATCCAATTGGTCGACCGATGCTGCAACTTCCTGGGCTATTCCGGAACTCCCTACAGCCTTCCAGTTCTCTCTCTTGAAAGCAAAGCTGTGGAATTTAGTCTGACAGTCGGCTGCAACACCTTTCATCTTCGCCTCACTGGATTATTAGATCCAGGTCCAAACCTTCTACCCCAACATCTTGCAGTTGAGATCTCCACCAGGGCCCCCTAACGGTGTCTATTTATCAACCAGCCCATGTGGGTCCTGGCAAATGACCCCCCCAAAAAAACGCTTGATGCCAACCCATTGAGGGAGTGCCGTCCTCCCTCCCCTATCCCTCGCAGGTACCTCCAACCGCTTACACCCGCGTGTGTCCAAACAAGAGCCCAGCGTCTAATGGAGAGCGTCTCGATCGGTGCACTCGGCATCACCCGTGGACCCCCGAGGATGCGAGGGCCGCCGGTGACGTCCGTTCGGGCCCACGCTGCGGCGTTCGGGCAGGGGCAGATGGGGAACTGCGGCACGAGCCTCATGCCACCTAGTTCCTCTTTCAGACCATTTGAATCCATTTGAGACCAGGTTCAGACCTGGCTCAGGCTTATCAGTTGAAAACCTGTTTCCTGCCAACACCCGTCGAACAAATCTAGATTGAAGAGGAATAAAGACTGCTCCATTTTTGCTCAGGGCTGACCAGAACCTACCAAAAACGAGCAGCCAACCAACCCAGCTTGAAAACCCAACACCGGTAGTGTGGATGTAGTGTGTATCTGCAGGAGTGGAACACCCAAGATTAAGAAATCCTAATCTATAGAGTCTAGTTTTGGTCGCATCTATTTATTATCCTTAATGCCCCCTGTAAGAAACAATCTATAGACTCTACCCACTCTACCCTCAAAAAAGCGGCTTTGTTAGAATCTTCGGCCGTCCCAACAAGTCCCACTGTAAGCGCCCGCCCAGAAGTCAGACGCCAGTTACATCACCTTGTCAGAAGCTCTTCCAGTCCATGTTTTGCAGCTCTACATGGAATGAATCTTCAATTCTTTTGATCTAATTAGAACCCATCTGACCCCTGTTTTGATAGGAAAGGGTCATGATCTATTGTCACATTTCTTTTGGGTGTTGGTGGTCCAGAGAAGAGGTCATTCAGGTTCTCGGATTATCTTGAGTGTCATGATGCCAACCAATCATGCAACAGCCAGGCCGCGTGAAAAAAAAATCCACTCATCTGCCGCCATCCGGCAGCAAGGTCAAAGCGATAAGCCAGAATTTGCGATGTGTTTGGGGCTTCAAGTAACACCCTATTCCTGAAGATCAAATGAGTCATGACTGGACTAAGATGTGGGATCAAGCGGTTTGGAACCGCTTCATCCGCACCTCACGCATGAGCGACAAGGTTTCAGGTGAGAATAGCAAGCTTCAAAACAGGTCGGTTACCAGCTTGTCATCTGCATGTATCAGCTGCATGTCATCATGCAAATCTCCTTGAACATTGCGACCGGCAGCACAACTGCGCATCAACCTTCGCAGCTCAGACCGATGACTTTTTGGGGGGTGCGAGAAACAAGGATGCGGGGTGGGAAAAGAACAAAAAAACAGGGCCTGAGGAGCGATCCGACGCTACTAGATGCTACGAACGGGGCGCTCCTGGCCTTACTACTAGGAACAAGAAGCTCTGGGCATCGCTACGAACGTGGCCTAGTGGCCTCCAGGGCTCGCCACCGAACCAGGGAGCAGTTCCAGGGCTTGGCCGCGCCGCTCTTCGCTCTGCGCTCTGCGCGATTTCAGCGCTCCGCAAGGCTCCCGCGGCTCGGAAAGCCCGGGATGGTGATTGGAAGGATGTGAACAGTGGCTGTCGCCCCTCCCAGTCCCATGGAACTGCTGACGACGAGAAGCACCCAGATCCCAGTGGATCCTGGATCCAGTGGATTGCCAGTGGATCCATCAGTTATAATTTATATGGATTGGTCATTAGGTTTTATGGATTGGAATATGTATACAACTACGGAAAACCATAAACCAACCAACCAAGACACTGTTTCCTTGAAGTTCATTATCGTATATAGCAGCTGCCTGGGATCCACTGATATATATGTCTATAGCAACTTGTCACATATTGCCCCACTCTTTTGCATGCTGACAACCAGAAGATGTCTTCGTGCAGCGATCATGGTTGTCACCAAGTCTGTGGGATGTCTACAGAAGTGAGATGCAAACTCCATGTGACTCCTGGAAAAGAACCCTTCACTTTGCCTTGCCTGCTTCATCAGGACCTGCCAGACCCGACCACTCCGCTCCTCTCTGCTCCCAACTCGTCGGAATCTCTGCACCTCTTCATTCAGACCCACCACTGCCGGAACCTCAGTGGACCGTCAACTAACTGCGAACCGACAACTAACTGCGAACCGACACACAGTATGTGGAGGTGTGTGGAAAGTGGGGGTGGGAAAGAACATGCAGAGCAAAAGTCTGGTATCATCTGAGAAGGTGCTGAACATCTTTAAAAAAATCCAATCCCCATGTGGTGGTCCAAAGACTTGGAACGTGACATCCGTTCGTCTTAGACGCCTTTCTTGCACTGAAACGGGGAGAGACCAACTGCGGTGACGACGCATCTTCCGCTTCTTCCCGAACGAGTTGGGCCGGTGGGTCGAAGTGAGTTGAGGAGACTGCGACGAAAAGACAGAAACCAGTGGAGTCTTAGGTATTGATGGCATTGGCATGGGCCTTGAAAAAGAGTTCCTATGACATACTACAAGCAAGTTTGTTATTCCCTTTGAACACGTGTAAACAAACCATCTGCAGTTGGAGCCAGGCACACTACTTCGCTTTGCCTGATGCCAAGGTGACCAGGCAATGCCAGTTTGCAGTGACGGCCACTACTCGATCGACGTCCTGACTCCCATAGAGCGTCGGACGGTCGAGGTCACCACCTGGACCGATGAACCTCCAGGAGGTGACCTCCTCAGGTTCGATATGACTGGACCCGATGGAACATGGCACCCACCCCAGCAGTCACCCCTTCGAAACGAGTTCGGTACGACTGGAGGCCAAACGGGATCGTTTTGTTTCGAAGCTGGTAGGAGATGGAAGTGGTGAAACATGACGTCGTGGCAGAATCATCAACCTGTCTGACTGGCAGAATCAGGATGGGTATGAACTCCATCGATCTACTGAAGCCGGGCAAGTCCGAGGCACGTGCCTCTTCCGGCATTGTTCGCCTTCCCAAGATCCTTATGCTTCGACTGTTCACCACAAAGCTTCATCGCCGTCCGCGCATGCGAACTCCGGCGGGTTCCGTTGGAACCTGCGGCGTCTCACCCCGGCGTCTCGACGAAGGCCATCCTCGTCGCGACGGACCGGTACTGAGCTGGTGACGTCAATCCACGGCAGGAGCAGCACCGATTGGCCTGGCGTGCTGTGCTGGGTCCGAAACCACGAAACCATATGGATCCACTGCCACCTGTTGAGAAGGTATAGTGGTTTCAGGAGTAGACGACACAAAGCCAAATATATGGGTGTGGTATTTCTCATAGACCAAAACCTCTTGGGCCAGGGGGGTCTGCCCATAATGAACCCTAGGGCTCCAAGGACCTTCTTAGAAGGCGTTTGGGGTGGGTTTAGAGGGTCCAAATACCTTCTAAGGAGGTACTTGGAGCCCATCATATACACCCAAGCCGATGTCTTTCCCAAACACAACCGATGGGACTGGTCTATTAACCAGGCCAGGGTGGTTGTTTCGGGGTCCGGGGTCTGGGGCGGCAGTCCTATGACAGTCCCAAACTGGTTGTGTCTGGGTATGATGCATGGTGGGTCCGGTGATTGGCCACCCTTTGAGGTACGGAAGAAAGGGACACACGTTGATGCAAGCAGTGGCGTAGGCGGTCGGGCCAGTGGATCCCTGACGGAGCCTGGAGGGGATGCATCTCACTCAGCAATGAGTACGGGATGAACTTATGCATTTGGGACCACCTGAACACCAGAACCAACTACGACCTCGGGTGGTTGTTTGACCCCCACGCTCCCCATCCGCTTGCCATCCGATCACCATCGCAGCATGGTGTTGCTGGCATTTCCTCGCTGTGAGCGTGTTTGGGGTAGGCACCCTTTACCAAATAGCAGCCCTGAGAGAGTGCTGCAAATGATGCCTACAGCACCACCATTCAGCATCGATGGAACGTAGAATTACACAGCAAGATCCTACCAATGAACACGATGCCAATGGTGAAAACTCACTGGCTGACGTTGAAACCACCGTACCACATGCTATTATCATTATTATCCATAGGTTTGCCCTCCCGCTCCGCTCCCCGCCATGTTCTTCGTCTTGAACACCGCTAACCGGATAACCTTCTTGTCACCTCTTCTGTTGGAAAGGGAAGCACAATCAGCGCGACCTGCAAGTGAACTGGTCATTGCGAGTTGATGTAGACTCTTGAGTAGTAGTCACCGCGCTTTTGCTCAGGGGTGTTGCAATCACAATGGGAGCTCAACTCGTCTCCTATTAAGTCTCTCCATCCACAGCAGGATTTCGCCTGTAAGGTCCTCTTCATGCACACATCCACAGCCCGCCCTGAGCGCTTCGAAGCCGCTAAGCCGCGGCTTCGCCGCTTCGTGCTCGGCCAGGCGAATGTAAGTGTGACATGAGTTCAGCAGCATTGACCCTGGCTCTGTCTATTCTACCCATAGGGTGGAGCATCCTCAAAAAGTGTCCTTTGGCCCCAACTGCGATACCTGTCCCCTGTGGAAGCACGTTCACCTTGAAGATTAAGTTCAGGAGGTACCTGGACCTGAACTGGGACAGTAGAGTGAAACTCTTTGAGGGATATACATAGGTCCAGAAGAAAAGAAAGGACATATCTTGACACAACCCTGTAATATAATGCCCATTGTCCGGGGAGCAACAGCCAAGGGTTAACATATGTTACAGTAAATTTATATTTAAAGACCAAAGAGTTCTGTCATGCCGTCACTCCATTATCAATATGTACCAGTGCCGACACCAAACGTGCGCACGTTTGGGGGAATACGACCATTTGGGCGACAACAGGTCAGCAGCAAAAAGGAACACTAAGAAACAACTGAAAGCCAAGTGAGCAGAACCGGACAAGAACCAATTCCAACGACCCATCATCCTATGCAGAGCGGGACATATTGGACACCAATCGGATCCCATGGGCACCCCTTCCAAGCAAACGGTGCGCCTGAATCGATTGCCACTTAGCAGTCTCGAACAAGTTCAACAGAGAAAACACAACACCGCACTTGTCTCCTTTTTTCACTGCCCATGGTGCTTATCTACTTCTATCAGGTCAGCTTCTAGGCAGGCAGTTCCCATGACTTTTCCTACTGCCTATTGATCTATGGCTTTGGGTCAAAACCTGAAGGCTATTTCGCTGGTAGATTGACCTCCCTGGCGGTCTATTCTGTTCATTTTCGGGGCCAGATGTTGACCCACAGCCGTATGTCAGTTCTCAGTACTGAGCTGCCCCACCCATGCGTTCCAGGCATCCTTCTATGTGCCGGACTCACTGATGGGACAAAGGGACCAAAGGGAACGCTTGCGATGGGAGAACGTCGAACTCCTCCACTATATGGAGACGCACATGGGAGGTTTTGAGGTGCTGCGAACCAGAAAATGGTGAACTGTGCAGTCACTGTGCTCCACCACGCATTGAGTCCCAACCTTGACGTTCAATTTGTTGTTCACGTCTTTCTTTGCCTCTGTTGCATGACGTAAAGCTGAGCCAAACCAGCGTGGTGCCATCTTTGATCAACATGTTTCGATTCTTGGTAGCTCAGCGACTGGAGTTGGTGCCTTCGTATGCCGCCTACACACGTAGAACCACAAGGCTCCATGCAAATAATCTTTCCAAGAAATACTGACAGGAGGGCTTCATGTTTCTTTCAGCCCCACACAGGTTCTTTACCTTGGACTTGCTTCGGAAACAAACACAAGAACACATGACAGAGTAGGCGGCCTTAGTAGGAGACTCATTTGGTGAGGTGAGGAACAACAAGGTCCACAAACAACAAATTCAACCAATCACCCAGTCCGCAAAACCTCGTCACCACTCTCAAGCTCATGCTTCTCAAAGCTGAACGAACGCCCCCTAAACCCCCCCGGCATCATCATCTGCAGAAAAATAAGATCTTTGGGTGGATTCCTTGGATGTCACTCCAAAAAAAAAATCAGGACTTGCACCTCAAGATTCAATATCCCTAGGGCTCCTGGCCCATATCCTCAGGTTCGGTGTCTTCTCAGAGGTAGTTTGAGCCCAAACGGGTATTTTGACCTAGATCAGCTCACGGCGACATTCCTTTCTCACCTACCCATATATACACACTCTCTCAGTCTGGTAGTTGGGGATGTTTCTTGTGGTAGGAACAGGGATTGAGGATGCACTTGGATCCATAGATCACTGCAAGACTCAAACCGGAAGCTCTTCCAAATCATTCGACTCAAACCCCCTCATGACCGCAGTAGCGGCGCGGTCGAAACTCAAACTCTCCCCTTTTCATCCACTAGCTCACGCGGAAATGCCTGGGCTACACATGGCCACGCGTAGAAGCAGGTGAGCGGCTCGTGTGATTGGAGGAGGTGGGCATCACAAGATCTCTCCACTGATCAAATTGGATGACACGGCCTTTGAAAGAACTTTCCTCTTCAAACAGGGCCGGGGTTCTAGAGTTTGTTGCTGTCATCTTCCGGATCCAAATCCTGCACTAAGTAGACTAAGCTGGTCAGGCACATGAGACAACCGAATTCCTCAAATATGTTCGAGATATCTTGAAATCGTTGAAATATGGTCAATTGCCTTCTGAGAAGGTGGCAGTGGATCCATGGGGTTGGGTGTTTCAGCGTATTTGTGGTTAGTTCTGGCTGCGGGTCATGTTTCCACCTGCCTGACCCCTGGGCCAGACCCACCGGTACCTGAAGAGATTCCACAGGAGGTCGCACCGGTGGTGGCACTGAAACCGCGATCGAATCAACCTCACACGATCGAAGCAGTTCGTGAGTGCTTTGTAGCGGCCGGTGCGCAGATCCAGTTCCGGCTTGGCCAACGGGAGTTTTGTTTCCTTGAATAAGCCTCCGTCCTCACTGTACCTCAGGTTCGGTGGCAGTGGATCCGGGTAAGAACATCACCAAAGTCAAGCCATTGTCCAATGTCCTCGTCGCTCTGACGTCGAGGACTTCTCGCCTCTGGCAAGATCCGGAGCGACGTGGTGGACTTGGCGATTGCTGTGCTCGAGGTGATCGATCACCTGAGACAAAGCATTCTCAAGGCCTAGCATCCGGCTCTGCAGGGCTTGGACATCGGCTCCCATTTCTTGATGGAGAGGTGGCTCCCAAGTTCCCCGTGGTCTGATAGGCTGATGGGCCAGTATGTTGGCCTGGCATGTCGTCCGGCAGTTCTTCCGACATGTTCCAGCCCCATTCGTCTCCGGCCCAGGCCATTCACTTTTCTTCGATGATCCGCTTGGGGAACGCCAAGAGCCGCACTGACTTCCACCGCACCGCGCCGATCTTCAGCGTTCTGCTTCCGGATGAATCGTCGGTGGCGGACATCGGTTTAGACCGCTGCATTCGTGACGAGCGTTCTGGACGCATGGCTGGTCGCGCTCGCGCTCGCAGGACCGGAAGGTCCGTGCCGCGATTCTTCGCCAAATGAGATGGTCTCGTCCTGGTACTCCTCGAGAGTCAGGCGTAGATAGAATTCCGCATCGATCTGGTGTAGATAGAATTCCAGAAAGAACTCCAGAAGAGATGCCAAATAGAATGCCAGAAAATAATAGGTGATAGAATGCCAGGGTATATGCCTTGGTGTGGGGTCACTGGAAGTGAAGTCATTTTTGGCGATAGATGCCAAGCCTCAGGGCGAGTGCTACACACTCACTGTCGGCTACTGCATGGACCAACAGGGGGCCCCTTTAGGGTACAGCCCCAATGTATGGATTCATATGTCAGGTCCCCTGAGTCGTGTCTGGGATATATAGTACACCGATCCAAAGAGTCTGGTACATGGCTCTGACCGAGACTGCCGCGGAGCCCGTAAACCGGGCACCCGTACCGCTGCCCGGCCGCGCGCACCTGGCGGCGGAGCGCGGCCCTGATTGGAAGGGATCCAAAGGGCTGGAAGCGATGGGTAGTGGGCCGACTCCGCCTTTCAAAGCGGTTGCTTGACCAGGACATCTATCTCCCAAAGCAAGACTTCTCAGCTTAAAGATGTGGGAAATGGTCAATGAAACTGAAGGTCTCAAGGACATGAAGGACCAAGGACCTCAGCAGTTTCATGGGGGTGGGTGCTTTTGAGTCACATATTGGGGGGCCGTGGATGTGATGTAAACCAGGGTATCACTTAACAAACACGTGGGCCTCTCCAAGTTCGACACCCCCGGACGTGGAACTGCTGGGTCCTTAAGATGATGTTCAAAAAAAAACAACAACAAAACACTGAGCCAGGAGTCACCTGTCGGGGTGCCGAGTCCTTGGAGGTTAGGGACGGTTGCCCCTGTCACATCCACTCACCGAACTACTATAAAAATACCCCGTCTTGTGACTCCTGGAGGATAAATCTACATGAAGATGAAACTACCGATGTCCTTAAGATAGATCTTGTAACAACAAAAAGCTATAAGGAGGAATACATATATATATATATATCTATCTACTATATATATATATATTGCTTAATGATCTACACAAACATGAAACGATTGTTGTCCTGAAGATGGTTCTTGTAAACAAAATATTATCACCGTATATACACAAAAACCAAGTCCTGCCCTGAATCGACGTCCTGGCCAGGATCGATGTCCGTTACCAGTTTGCAAACGCCGCTCCTTTTGTATGTTTGGCCTTGTTGTCATAATGTTCAAGTACTTGACAAGCTAAGCACTTATTTTCATATGATGTGAGTTGCATGACAGAATGCTAACCTAGTAACTCCCAAATCATTCCAGTACCGTGGTGCAAGTCAATGTTGCCATGTCGGAAATGAAATTGCCTTCACCAATCCTCCAAGATCCTCCAAGATACTTTCGCTTCTGCTTGCCTACTACATTACAAGAACGGCTCGTGAAACAAACACCACAACCCACTTCCGAAACCACAAGCCACGATCCCAGAGGCGTGGGTGACGGAAGTCTGGCTTGATGGAAGTCTGCGGTGATGAGTTCCCCTTCTCACAGAGAACACACACTAGGATCACATGTGGCAATACCATCCGGAATACTCAATCCCCTCGCAGCATTAGGTAGAACAGCTGAATCGAGTCATATATAGGCTTCTGAAACCTGATGCAAAAGTACAAACAATCCAAGTGCCGCCCCTCCCTTCCCTAGGGATTCAAGTGCCTTCTCAGAAGGTACGACTGGAGCCTCCAAATCTACATAACAGTGTCTCCAATCACCTTCTGAGAAGGTACGACTGGATCCCTAGGGCTTGTAGCAGGTGTTCCAAACATGTGGAGGGCCTCATTCAGCAAACCCTTTATAAAGCTTTATCATGAATACGTTGCACGTTTGCACACCACCTGATACACTCCCTGACATCATCATGGTACCGATTACGTGATGTTACGTGGATGTCATGACAATACTGAATTTGTCCAAATACCAAAGAGCTTGTGCCATCCACTTCCACCATGAATGATTTCAAGAGGAGTGTAGCAAACCAGTCTGCTCTGCTGTCCACCTTCTGATCAAAGATGGGCGACAGGATCCGCATGTTCGGCGTCTGGAATGGACCTCAAGACCGACAGCCAGCGCCGAGCTCTTCAGCGACCGTAAGGAAATCGAAACGACAAAGACTGGATGTGGTGCAACATGCCCACTCAACTCAACCTCCATAGCATATTCAAAAACTGTTTGTCTGGAGCTGGGATGGGATTCGAACGGAATCCAAACAAATGGGAATGGGATTTCCACGAAAAAGCCCTCATGCTATGAACTCTTTTCCGCATCCCAGAACTTCCATGTTCCAAAGATAGGTGACGCCTGCTGGCGACAAAGTAATAAGTAGACCGAACAACTGCATGTGAGCAAAGTTTGTGATGTTGATGTTTTATGTAACCTGTTCATCTCCAAAAAACAACTCAGCCAACCGTAGATAGTTTTTAATTTATACTCCTTGGAATTCTTATGGACGTGTAAAACCACAACCTGTCAGATTCCATGGTCATCGGCCAGGCCGATGTCAGGAAGTGGACCATCAAACCCCTTCGGGAGATGGACCCGACCATTGGTGCAAAAAGATCATGAAATCAAAGGCCTTTCCATTGCTTGGACTTGCTTCAGGAAGTGGGAAAATAACATATTCAGAAGGGAATTCACCGTGCATCACCTTAAGCAAAACCAGGAATGGAAAAGGGGTCCAGATTCTTAAGCATTGCTTGGCTTTGCGACGCAAAAGAAAGGTCGACTGATGACTGTTGGTTTCTGGCGACCTGGATGCACCCAGCGGCATTCTTGGGGATGATGTATTCTTCTTCATCCAATTCCAGAATTGAATCCATGATTCAGACTTTCCCACCCAAAATCATGGAACAGGAGATCGGATCGGTGGAATGGCCCCGAAGTTGGAATGACGGATGTCGCGAAGACCAAAGAGGTGGGGGTGTGAACGAGTAAACTCAGTCGGAGTGGGAGACCTCCATAGCTCCGGGAGAATTGGAACCTTAGGGATCCAGTCGTACCTTCTCAGGTACGGGGATTGGAGACACTGTTATGTAGGTGTGGAGGGTCCAATATGGTCCAATCACCTTCTGAGAAGGTACTTGGATCCCTAGGGGAAGATACTAGTGGGTGTGTATTTTGATAGCGAGACCTCCCAGTGCGACCCCCTGGAATGTTCAGGACATATATGATGCATCCATACATTTTTATACAGGATGGGTGTGCAATGGAAAACCTCCTATTATGGAAGACCTCCTGGAAGACCAAACTTCTGGTCTTCCAGTAAAACGATGCATCCATATCCATCCATATCCCTACCTCCAGTCGTACCTCCTCAGGTTCGGTATGACTGGAGGCCGACTGGGAATAGTCGACTAGACTCTCAGGACCACTCCCTGGGCTTCTATGTTGTTCTGTTGAACAAATCGACGTAGCGCGGTGAGTTCTCTGAAACTTCCTTTCCCACGAACCGAAACTCCAGTTCGGAGCTGAACTCGAGCGACTCAGCATGGCTTTGATGAAGAGCTCATGAATCTCACCTTGGCAGTATGGATTTCAAAGAACCGCAATTGTAAAAATACACTGGCGAGAATTGCTTGATAGGTCTCATTAGATCTCATAGTAGTGGAGCTCATTCGATCTCAATGAATAGGATAGTGGGACACACTCAGATCCAAGCTGATCCAATATTGCTGCTGGACTGGTCACAGCTCTTGTTTTTGTGCTTAAATATACATACCTGGACCTTCAAGGGGTGTCCAATGGAGGTCCCTTAGTAGTGTAGGGGCTTCCATTGGTGACCCCTTCGAAGGTGCTGGTATGTTTCACCTACCAACAAACTGCCACAAGGCTGTTGCAGCCAATCAGTTGTGCACTGATGCCACGTTGCTTGATTCGATGTTGACATGATGATGCTAAAATAGGCATTGACACACCAAACATGGGATCGAATCCAGCAACAATGCCTGGCGGCACTTGACAAACCCAATGGATGCCAAATAAATTTCTCTCCCAACTCCCAACGCATCAAACACATCCGTAAATTGTCGCAGGTATCCAGGCTCAAGCAGTCTCAAACATGGTCCAAGGTCCAAGCAATTCAACTGCTTTAACGATATTGCTTGGAGGGAGTCCCTCCAGCCGTAGGGTGGTAGTGGACCACCCTCTTCCTTGGTCCACTCTTAAGTTCTACGTCTCCGTCGGACTGGAAGACCCATTAAAACCTCCAATGTTTCGTAGTGTTTCGATCTACATAAATATAGGCAGTGGTTGAACCCCCAAAGAATATGGGAACAAATCTGGGTTTTGGTCTTTCTGCCAAGCGGTTTAAAAAGCAAAGATGTTAAAATAAATTGGCCCGAAACATGCAAATCTCTGAGTCTGATCCTTTGTCTGAACATCCTCTGTGATATGCCCAAATAAAGGTATTAGACTAAGAACATCTGAATTCTAAGCATCTCAGCGCCACAACAAATCAACTAAATCAACTTTGGGTCTATTCAACTTTGGGTCTATCCTTGTCATCCAAGGCCCGCTTTGGATGATGATGGGGCCGAGGCCGTTGCAGGCCTTGCTGCCATTGCTAAACCGGACGGCTCTAACTCAGCCCACAAATCAACTAAATCAACTTTGGGTCTATCATGGTCTATCCTATTACCAGAGCCTGCGCTTGGCCAAGGCCTTGCCATTAGCCAAACCGAACGGACAACCCGCCCACAACCCGCCCCACTCGACTCAGCAAGTCGCTGAAGAAGGCACGGATGGCCTCTTCGTTTCGATGCCTCGCCGCACACGTGGAACGAACCCGAACGGCACGAACGGGTCGTCCACCGGGTCGTCCACCGGAGCAGTTGGGGTCAGCCTAGGCGGGTGGGGACAGCACCGGGGGGGGGGGGGTCCAAACTGGTCAAAACCGATGGAAAGCCGAACGTGTTTGAACTCGCAGGGAACCAACACAAAACACTAGCCAAACTCATGGGTTTCAGTATGTTCAACTATGAGTTTCTGCAAGGCCATGCTACCTTTTTGTTGAAGAGGAGCGGATCAGTAACAAGGCGAAGCTAGACTAGACTATGACCACCTGGAGCCTGGGCACCGAAGGAGCTCCTTCCTCGGCGTATGCACCGCGACATGATTTCCTGCCAGTGATTGAAGGGGAATGACACCAGAGGGGGAACTTATCCATATACCAGCACGCAAAACCTGCCAGGTCTCCTAGCCTTGGAGGGTTGGGTTGGGTGGGAAGGGCCCGAAGACTAACAGGTTTCACCAACGGTGACCTGTTGGCCGGTGCTGGTATGGAACATCCACAAAAGCGCTCCCCAACACCAGGACGTTCCGTGTAAACGCTGCTCGGATCGCCCGGCGTCTACCACCATCGACCTGTCAGCCTGTAGCTGTCGGCGTTGGCGCACCCACCCATCGACACGAGGAACTGAGGCACCACACTTGTGCAGCAACATCATGCGGACCTCGCGAGAGACCAAAACCACCAGCGCTTGCATCTTGCAGAACTGGGGGGTGTAGACCTTATGTAAATTAACACACACACACACACACACCTGTAGGGTATTGAAGGGCTTTACGATCATGTTGAATTGTGGGTCTTATGTAACTGTTCCAACACACACCTGTATACAAGAAGGGTTTTACTTACTAATGACGTTCCTTTGGACTTTCCTATTATAGGGAGGTCTGATATCAATGGGCATCTCCCTCTTCATCCTCCCAGTGTCAAAAAGAGAAGAGTGTCTAGAGTGTCACATAGCTTGTTATTGGCCTTTTGAGGACCCTATATAACTATCACTTTACTTACATGGTGTTTGAGGACATCCACATGGATCTAATGACCTGGAAAACACCACACAACACCCATCCGCTTCACCGGACCCATACCCACTCCACGTCCGACCGTTCCACCGCGCAGCGCCACGGAGCCGAGCGACGTGGCCCGCGGTGCAATAGGCCGAGACGTGGAAGTCGTTGAACCTTGGCGATATAGGTCCGACCGATCACGGGCGCCAGTCCAGCACGGCCCGGTGACCGGTGGGTGTTTTCTGGACCTAACATGTAAACGAGACCAAACAGTATACATCGGGTGGAAGATGCACCAACAACCTGAGAACAGATGTATACAACAACAGATGTATACAACATGCTATCTGATGTGCCAGAGCGATCTTTTTTTGTTATTACCCATGGGTTCTTTTCCCCATTGGTTGGTCATCTAATTCCCTCTCAATGGTGACCCATGGTGGTACCTTCACTTTGAAAGATGCTGCCCTGCTGACGGTTAGTGCTAGACTTCACTTCCATGGATCCAGTGCCGCCCTGAGAATGATGCTTGGAATGTGCGAACCATGGGAACGACGTCAAATCGATCGATCCAATCCCTACACCAAAGGCAGGATAAGGCCAGTAGGCCAGTTGTCTTTGTTACACAGCTATATGGACATATGGTGAAGAACTCATGCGATTCCCCACTAAAGACTTTGCTAAGGCCTGAAGGATTCAAGGGAGTTTCAGGTCAAAGGCATGAAACAAAAAGAAGGTCACCCTTCCATATCCTTCCATGGCTGGAAGAGCCATGGCCTGTCCAGTGGATCAACAGTCCGATTGGCGCTTGGATCGTGAGGTCAAGCCGCTTGTCCACCACTCGAAGAAACATCGAAGAGGTGCTCCAAACCATCTCATCCACCTGGAAGCTCACGCGCTGAAGCGATCACGCGTAGCCGTCGAACCAGGAAGCGGTGAAAAAGCCACATGGTTTTGGTTGGATACGATGACACCAACGGACAAAGGGTTGGCTTGGTCGTCACCAACGGCAGTGCCAAAATCACAGTATTGACCAGTCTTTTGAGCACCATCAATGCAAGTGGTTGATGCATTAAGACCCAGGAGTGAAGATATACAACCATTCTGAAGATGAGGGGTAGCTTTGAATCCTTCTCGGTATGAAATACAAATTTTGTCAATTACCATCAAAGAATTCCAACCACCATTGCATCAAATCCGTTGGTTTACTGATGTTCACCGTTGCAGAACCCTATATGTCAACCTATCGCATCTTCTAATGGTCCAACGAACGGATGCTCTGGGACCCAGATTCCCGTCCTGAACCCCCGGACGAACATGACAGTTCGAAGTCCACCAAGTTCCATGCACACCTCAGTTCTTGGTTTCACTCAGTTCCAGAACACCGAGCTCGGACGGGCTGAGGTCGGGGCTTCCTCAGTTCTTTTGCTTGGCTTCCCAGATGCTCCGTGAAAACAGCCCGACTGGTCCCTCAAAACCTAGGGAGTTGAGACCCCAGCCCTCCAGAGGATTCGGGCCCAGACCTCGCGTCTGGGTGAAGAGAATAAAGGTTAAGCTTCTTTCCAACTGTTGGATTTTGAGAGGGGGTTTCACCGACCAATCTGAAAACCATGGTTTTTACATGTTTTCGGGCGATCCACCGTATATGATAGGTATATGGGCGGCCCGGCTGGTTCCCTTTCCTGCCATGCCTCTCCTCTCGCGTCTCGCGTCTTGCAAAGCAGTCCAAATCCATCGAAACATGAAGGGGGCACCCCACCCCCAAACCGACCCAGTGAGCCACGTGAAAGACCTGGAGCCTGTGGAACGGTTCTTTTCTCTTTTGGAGCCCAATCCAAAGGGTGGAAGGGTGCGAGGGGGGGCGACATTGGGTGAAACATGAAGGGGAATAAGTAGGGGGCTATTTGTGTTTCACATGAAGGGGGAAAGACCCCATGAAATCCGAACACCCATTTTGCCCCCTCGTCATGTTTCCCCTTCATGTTTCACCCTTGCCCCCTCGCCCCCCTTCACCCAGTTTCACCCAGGAATCATGCCATCCACGTTCGCATGATCATTTCAGTGAGTGTCCTCCCACCCCTTGTCTTTTTTTTCCGGCCAGGGGTGCCGGGCTAAATCCAGGGCAGCGTGCACCACGAACTGGTCCAGGTGAGGATTGTCCTGCAAGCATGTAGCTCACAAAGCCCAGGCTCTGTCACCCTCTATCCGACACTGGCAATATGGGGCCACCCCGTTCTCTACAGGTTCAGTCCATTTCCACAATGCGGAAACAAACATCTTGTGCAGCAACCCACCTAGCGGCGCCTAAGGGCCTATATAATATAATAGCCTATATAGCAAATGGATGAGTTGTTACTCGGTCACTGTTCCTTTCACCCAGCTCCTTTTCCAGATTCTGCAACCCAGTGCTGGATCCAGCGGGGATGACTCACCCATCTTCACAGAAGAATGACCATCACATATGTCCGAAGCATCTTTTGTGGACCATATCTATTTCCCCGATGTATTAGACGATCGAACCAGGCTCTTGGAGCTTTGACCACGCTCTTTGGCCGCTTTGACCGTGAATTTCGGATGTCAAAGACACCCCCTTCCCCTGTAGGAGTGACCTGAACCTCGAAGGGTTCATTCATCCAAATCCAAGACATTCACCTGTGACTGCCGGCCTTGCCACCAAAAAGAAGTCCAAGGACTTTACTGTTCCTCAGTCAAGTAGGTGGGAAGTGTCCACGGCCTCGTCTGTTCTTATTCTATGCCCGGCCGCAAGGAGCGCATGGAATATGCCATAGATGCGGGGCTTGGAACCAATGCTCCATCATGTATCCCGGATGGGCTCCAGGAGGTTACCTCCTTAGAAGGTATGAACCCTCTAAACCCACCCCAAACACCTAAGAAGGTCCGGCTGGAGCCCTAGGGTATAGTGATCTTCGCGCGACCATGGATGATTTGGGGCGCTGCTTGGGACTCCCAATGGGTGCCCAAGCCTCCCCCAATTCTGGCACTCCCGTGCCCGCCTCTCGGCTGCCCTCGCTACTTAAGTCAGCCTCATAGATGGGTACATCATCCTGGAGCATTGCTGAGCGAATCCGTGCGGAGAGCGACATCGGTGAGACTCCGTCCCAAACCCAGAACAGTAACAGTGAAATGACCCGAACGCATTGATAGGACATAGAACCTACAGCTGTTTTGATAAGCATAGACTGCATGGAACCTGATGGAACCTGATTGGAGCTAAGAAGAGCTTCCAGTCATGTCTTGTCTGATCACATTGTATAACTAGGGGTCAAGTTCCAGATTCCGACAAACACCCACTCCGAGTCCCCATACCAACCAAGTCAGTCAGCACATTCATAGTCCCCACCAAATCACGTCCTCTATGTGGATTCTTAGGGCTTCAAGTAGATTGGGTTCAAAGGGTCCAAACACAACAACAATCTGGTATCGTTGTTTTTGTTGATTTTTTTCATGGTAGCCATCATTTAATGATATTTCCATGTCTTTGTTGATGCTGTCATCATCCGTGTGTTTTGCTGGTCATCTTACTTTCATCATTCTTCATCAAACATGTGAGCCAAGGTCTGGCGCCGCACTCTCGCAGCAGCAGCGCGAGCAAGATCCAAAAAGGTCGCCATCGTTGTAAGATTCACACGCACAAGGAGGTCCTGCCACGCAGAAACCATTGAACATCATTGAACCATTGGACCATCTCTCGTCTCTGCGCCACAACTTTCTTCCGGAAGAGACAGGCGTTCATCTGCAGGGCAGGAGGCTCCGAAGAGTGCATGGAACCTATTCTCCACTTCTCAGTTTGCACGTTTCATGGCCCAAAAATTAAACCTTCATGGGTCCGTGCGGATTCCAACTGGGAAGTCTCGCATGCCCGTCTCAGCCGTGTAGTACGAAGAGCATCCAGCATCCATCGGCGCGTTTTGTGCGCCGAGAAGGTCAAGATGGGTGCACGAGCCTACTTCCGTACGCGGCAAGCACGACAGTTGCTTCCGATGGGAGCACCGCAGTGCTCGCGCCTCCCATCCTGAGGAGAATCCACCAGCGAGCTGGGGCACCTCGATTCGACGTCAATGCACCGCAGTGCTTCCTGAAGAAACGATGACGAGAAGGGAAACACAAAAGGAAATACACTTTGGGGTAAAGCCGTTGTGAAGGCATCTCCAAGTGGCCGTTGTCTTGGACAAATGCTCCAACGAACGACAACCACTTCAGTGAAAGCTTGCTCCATTTCGGCGTTCGTGCCAGGCACAGAAACCACCTAGTCATCATCATCATCATCATCATCATCATCATTTGGGTCTGTCCTATTACCAGGGCACGGTAGACCATGATGGTTCAGTCAAAGGCATTGTTCAAAAAGAGTGATGTTCTTGTGTACGGGTCCTGTTACAGGTAAGAAATGACAAACCCAAGTCATCATCATCAACACAACATCATGGATAAGAGATGACAAATGTGAGGAAGTCCAGAATCGCGGGCAAAGCAGTTGCTTTACAATGTTTTACATCATGGAGTCCTATACAGCCTCAACAAAGCTACTTAGTACTGGATGACACATACTTTGACCTCCTACCCAACAACCTCCAACGACCTGTCTACACCAAGTGGATAGCGGAGACTCAACATAGCCTTTGGGAGACTTACATCATGTACCAATGACAATAAGTGTCACATGTTCAATTAGCAGCCCAGCAATAGTCGATCAACCACCTGTGTCACCATTGCTCCCGTCCGATGGATGTCCACATATTCTATATACTATAGACTGGGATCCAACCAAATCAAAGCCCCCATTCACATAGCGATGTCCATCCTGAACACGAAGAGAACAGCCAAAACTGCCGGCTTCTGCCATGAACAGAACCACCCTTTTCTGCCAAACAGAGTGTTTTGGGTTAGAGCCAACTCCTGCAACACTTGGCTGTCCAAATGGTCCTTTCCTGCCTCCCTGGTGCCTCCCTGGTGCCTCGTTCGGCCACCTGGTTCCAGTCTCTTGACTCGACCAACATGTGGAGTCTACTTGTTCCATCTGTTCCCACATATGGTATAGTGGATTGAGAGTAGATGGCACAGACCTCAAGAGGTGGTTTATATGAATCCCCATGTGTCTAGGACATCTTGAGGTCAGTGCCATCTACTCTGAAACCACTGTAGTACAATTATTGATGCAACAAAGGAACACCTAGAACGAAAAGGGGCTGACGCAACATGCTTGAACATTCCGGTGAAAACCGGCTCACCGCTTTCACATTCGTCGCCTTCCCCACGATGATGAGGATGTTAACAATGGCCTTGGAGCCGTGGAGCTTGAGGGTGGATAGAAGAACCAGTGATCAAGATAAAATATCTATGCATACCAAAATATATATATATAATATATATATATATATATATTGATGATGTAAATCAGCTACATGTACACAACATATCTATATACACATATCGGTGTATATATATATATATCAGTAAATGGGAATACGGGTGCATATAATATAGTTATACATATTGGGTTTATCCCATTCCCTGTAACAGTGGATAATGATGGTTCAGTGCAGGCCTTTCTCTAAACTAGTAACCACTAATAATTGCTTAATTACAGGTAATAGGACACCCCCAAAGTATACAGTGAATTCCACTTCAGTGGCTTTCACTTGTCACTTGTACTTTGCTTACTGGAACTGTTTTACGTATACTATAGTTTGTGGTGCTTTTTATGAGTGTCAGTGGAATCAACAAATAACAGCTTCCGTTGCAAAAGCACCCTGTGACCGCATAAAGAATGTATATAATATATATATATGTATATATATACTATATGTTGCGAATTTTGGAACCTCATCAAAAGCGGTGAAATAGTCACATTGACATACATGTTCAGCTTCAGTTTTGGATGCTGTTGCGGGGCTTGTTGAACCTAATCCAGATGCATTGATCACAAATTAAGATTGTATCGCAGGTTTTTCCTGTCATCCTAATTCCAACCCTCTCCCCTCTCCACCATCAATGCGCGCATTTCTCAGGTGCTCGCTTCCAGCTTAGTGAGCGGTCGGTGCGCTTCCATCATCGAATGCGCCCCGACCGGTGCGGCGATGCATCAAACAACAAATGCACGACTTCCAACACTTCCAAGTGGTCGCTTTCAGCTGCCTGCCGAAAAGCTAACTCCCACTGGCCTGTAGCGGCACTAAACAGTCAAAGTAGGTCATTCTCGTCAACATCAGCCTCAAGCAAACATTCAATGACTTCCACGTGGCCGTTTTGAGCTGCAATCCTCAAAGCTGTGTCCCCGTTTTTGTCTGCTGCATCTTTGTCAGCTCCAGCATCAAGCAACAACCGAACAACTTCCAAGCGGCCTCTGTTAGCCGCAAACATCAAAGCTGTTGCCCCATTTCTGTATGCTGAGTCCTTGTCAACTCCAGCCTGGAGCAACAATCGCACGACTTCCAAGTGGCCGTACATGGCTGCAAACAAAAAAGCAGTGTACTCGTTTTTGTCTGCTGCATCTTTGTCAGCACCAGCATCAAGCAACAATCGCACAACTTCCAAGTGGACGCTCTTAGCAGCAACGATCAAAGCCGTTGCCCCAGTTCTTCTGTGTGCCGACTCCTTGTCAGCTCCAGCCTGGAGCAACAATCGCACAACTTCCAAGTGGCCACTCTCAGCGGCAATCATCAAAGCCGTTGC